CTAGAAAACCTGAGAAATATAAAGATGTAACTTACAACAGTTACGAGACTGGATGCAAAACATTACTTCTGATTTTCAGCTCACTTTATTTTACCACGTTTCCTTTTTCCATAACTAGAAAGTGAAACTTCAATGCAGTCCAACCAAAACAACAAGTGCTTATTATAATAAGGCCTTGTTATAAGTTTATTTAGCATTCTTAGATACTGCATATAGCTTCGAAGTTTCATTTCTGAACACAAAATTTTGTGTTAAAAGAATGCTTCCCCCCCAAAAGAATTTTTGTTAGCTTTTTCAGACTGGAAGATATAGCAAATTACAAAAGCAGAAAGTGAATTAATGAAAACATACGAACAATTAATGAAAACATATGAACAAAGGACATAAGTCTTATATGTCAAGTCAACACAACAGTAATAACAGATCAGGAGTAACTCAAGGGATCCACTAATGAACAGAACTGCAACTAAATCTTCAAAGAATAGGAGGCAATTTGAATTTTAACATCTGCTTTTTCTAACTATGTTTGGAATATACGCTTAACATTTTGTCCTTCTAGCAATTTTCCAAACTCTAAAATTTGGAAAACATGAATCTCCAAATTAACAAAAATAGCAGTACTAAAAAATCTGACAGGATTTAATGGCCTCTATTCCTTCAAAAACTAATGTGGAATGAACACAGGAAAAGGATGTTATAACAGTGGTGTTGCTTTTTAGATAAATGGCAAAATTCATGAACTTTTCTTAATGTTTGAAAAGCCTTAACTAAATTTGTGTATTTAACTAGAAAAAGGCCACAGAGGGTAACTAAAACATGTTTCTTCGCTTTTGGGTGAAATTCTATCAGTGTAGTGTAGCAACGTTTGCATTCTCGGGTTAATCAAAAGTTCCTATTGGAACTTAATAGTTAGAATAATACAAAAATGGAAAAAAGATTACTTAAGCACTTGTAATAAAAAGTCGTTCTACTCACAGCGGTTTGGGGGGAGAGTTGGAATTAAAAAGGGGCCCAGGTAAGGAGAGAGTAGGAATTAAAAGAAGGGAACCTAGGTGGTTATTTAAAAATAAAACAGGCTGGGAATCACGAGATTAGATCTACTTCATGTCAGTGATTACTTGAGACTATTTTGGTGTCAAGGTTCTACCTTGCCGGTATCTTAAACTCCTCTGTGATTAGAAGGATGGAAATGACAGCTACTCTCATGTTCTCCCTTCCTGAAAGCTAAGCGCAGAGAAAAGTAGAGCTGCTTCTGAGAAACAAAGATGCTTTCTACCATTCTTCTAAGATGGTGGAAGAGTCTCCTTAAGAGGTTTCCCCAAGAAAGAAAAATGAAAGAGGGAAAGAAAGCCACAGCAGAATTCCCTGGCCGTGTTTCATGCCATTGCTCCGTCACATCCACTGTGCAACCACTCTGGTCCGGCCATCTCGTTCCCAGGAGGTTAAGCCCTCCCAGGGCATTGTTTGGCCGCGGTCCCTATTTACCACTCAGATCGCCTCCACCATCCCTGCTCTGAGATCTCGGGAAGCTCCAGGACAGAAAGCCGAAAAGCTAGGAGACGGCTTGGTTTCGAGGACCTCCTCCAAAACCCCTCTTGCCAACTGGTGTAGAAAAGAGAGAGAAAACCCTGGCCTCCGCTTGGGTGGGTTCCTTAGGGGTCAGAGGCTTCCCCTCCGCCGGTGTCGAAGGGAGGTGGCCATTTGCGCCGGGCGGTCGGTATTGAAAAAGCCCTACCAGAGAGGGGCCTCCGCAGGCCCCGGTCTCCGGGCCCGGTCCAAGCGTCAGGTGCGGCCCTCAGTTCCCAACCCTCAGGGCACCGGCGACGACAGCACACAGGCCCCGGGCTGAGGCCGGTCTCCCGCCCGACCGCCGAGGACTTAGGGACCCGAGCTAGGGCCCGAGCCGCATCGTGCCCGCCCCCGCCCTACCTGTGGGGGCCCGGGCGGGGTCGCTAAGGGCCGCTCCCGGGAGCCCCGCGACGGCGCGGCTCGGCGACGGAGGCGCCTCGTCTCGCCGGGGCAGAGCTCGGCGGCGGTTTCACGACCTCAAACTCCATCGGGAGCTATAGGGACAGCCCCGTTGGCGGCGGCGGAGGCCGCGACGGGGCCTCCTCCTCCTCCCTCCGCCTCCGCCTCCTCCTCCTCCTCTCCACGGAGGCGGTCCTGGAGGGATCCCGACCTAGCTCTCGCGAGAAGATACTCCCCCTTTCACGCGAGATCACGCAGGACTGGGAGTAAAGGAGGTGGAAGGAGAGTAGTAGCCCCCGCCACCTGGACTGCGCATCAGCTTCCCTCTGGTCGAGTCTAACCACCACTGTCACGTGACTGGGGAGCCCCGGAGCACTGTGGGAGGTTGCTGTTAGGAGGCTTAGGCAAGCCGAAAGGGTTGATGGGAAACTCCCCGCACCTTCATCGGCGTCTTGAGCCAGCCTCCTAGACAGTGATGTGAGGCAGTGTCTGACTCTCCTTGTGAAAAAAGTGGTCTCCATTGAGCATAATCTGATACATCTGTATTATATTCTATGCACTGTCCCGTAATAAACACTGACCCATTCCCTCAATCCCTCCACATATTTGCCAAGCAACCTCCCTATTTAAAAAAATAAAAAGAAAAGCATTTGCTTGGCAGGCACTAACACAAATCTCTTTATTAAAAAGAAAACTGAACTCCTTAGACGGTGGCAAGGATCAAAATTCAATTAATATCTCAAATATTTGTTGAATGAGGGGCACCTGGCTGGCTCAGTCGTTAAGCATCTGCCTTCGGCTCAGGTCATGATCCCAGGGTCCTGGGATCGAGCCCGGCATCGGGCTCCCTGCTTAGCGGGAAGCCTTCTCTCTCCCCCACACCCCCTGCTTGTGTTCCCTCTCTCACTGTGTCTCTCTCTGTCAAATAAAGTCTTTAAAAAAATTTTGTTGAATGATTTTTCACAGCAAACTGTAAAGCAGAAATTACTATGTTTTTATATATGAAGAAACAGCCTGGTAAGAAATAAGGGAATAAGCATTTACGAAGTGCTTACCATGTGCCAGGTCCTGTGTTAGGTAATAAAAATTTCATTTCTACTATAGATTTTAGTTTTATTTCATTCATCAAAATAATCCTAAAAGGCAGATACTACGTACTCTGTTACTGAGAAACTGAAAAACACAGATTAAGAAAATGGCCATGAGTTGTAATTAAACTCAAGGCACTTTCCAATGTGAAACCAGAAGTCCAACAAAGGCATGTATGAAAGCAAATCCACTATGAATTAAAAACCATATGAACAAGTAGTTTATAAACTGTAAAGACGTATATATATATATATATACACACACACACAAATATATATGTATCTACTGGACAGTGTATATGACAGTCTGCTAAGATTTTTCAAAGGTGGCCTGACCATCACAGTTAAAATTACAATCCCAATTTCCATTCCCTGGCACTCCCTATCTGCATTTTATTTTCTCCAACTTTGTTTTCAAAATCTCATATACACTGATTTTACTTGTTTGCTGTTTTTCTCCTTCCACTAGAACACAAGTTTCATGAGAGCAGGGATTTTGGTCTGCATATCTAACTTCTAATACTACGTAAAGACTCAGTAAATACTTCTTGAATGAATGGTCAGAAGAAATAGTTTTCTTCTTTAAAATTCAGAGATGTAGACAAAACACAAAGTTCTCCATTCCCATCTCCAGTTTATTATTTTTTTTTATGTAAAGATATAGAATAGTTACATCCAAGGAAAAACAGCACGGGTTTTCTCTTATACCAAAGTAACAACTACCTTTCCAAGATCCTTTATACATAAATGCAGTAAATGAAGAGGCTGAACTCAAACATGTTGCATTTTTCCCCATCATATCAGAAACACAAACAACTAAAAGTGAATGTTTTAAATGAATAAATTCAACACTTTACTTTGCCATACCTGCATTTTTAAAAAGATTCCATTTTCCCAGAACTGTTTATATACATCATGCAAACAGAAACTGTCCCAGGAATGTTCTGAGATCACTCTGTGCTACTGGACAGGAATAAATAAAAATAAATAACAACCATCACTTGCACAGAACAACCCTTCCCCCCAAGCAAATATCTCAAAGTGCTTACAAAAAATGTCACAAGAATCTTACAAGGCACACATAAAACTTAAACAAAGTTCAACCATAATTTTTTTCAAACATCAAGGATAGTAGATACCAATTCCTAAAAAAACAGTTTATTACTATTCTTTTACCCTTCCCTCCCTTCACCATCCCTTCCCCACAAAATTTCATCCTAGGAAACAAAAATAAGGAAAGTACTTCAAGCACAAACTATTTCTGAAAGGGAAATGTTTTCATACCTGGAAGTGGCCAATCATAGGTCAAATGGGAAAGAAAATTAAATGCTGCACTATCATGTTCTCCAGTGGAAGAAAAACACTACTTTAGAAAAATTCTGTCTCCAAAGTAGCACTCAAATAGCAACATTCATAGAGACACAAAACTCTCCTCTCTTGCTTTCCTCTCTGTTCTTGGAAACTCAGGGAGATTTAAGTATAAAATCATTGAATTTTGGACCTGGAAATGATCTTACAAATTACCAAGTTCAAAGCTACTGTTTTACACATGAATTTAAGAAAAACTGATAGAGAGGTGACCTGTCCAATGTCACTAACAAGTGACATGGGGAGGGAGGGGGTTATGAAGTTGGTTTCCTTATCAAAGATGAGAGGTGGATTCCTTAAAGTGTCTCCCAGAGTTAAAATTCTATGGAGAATATGTTTTTCACAAAAGTATCACAAAAAGGATATTTAACATTTATAACTATCAACATGTGATCAATCACAAAATTCTTATAAATGGTACAAAGTATATTACATTTTAAAATGTCGAAGGGCTTCAGAACCTAAGTATAACAGAAATTCTACATAAAGCTGAGGTGAGTAGAGGAGGAATAGAACTTGAAAGTGAGATGCATCCAGTCAGCCTTCTTTAACTAAAAGTAGTTCCTGCATTTTAGAGTATGATTTGCCCTGCAATAGATTTTAATCTTTGCTTTGACAACAAAGTTTTGTGTTATTTGTACACAGGGATAGCAGAGAGCAAGGGCTCATAACACAAACAGAATTACTCTCACTAAAATAACCATACAGTCATGGTTTTGCTTTTGGCACATTTCTGGAAATACAGAATAAAACTCTAGGGATGGTTAGGGTTTTTGTCAACATGTGGTAAATGAAAATTGCTTAATGTAAATGAAAAAAGTTAATAATTAAGAGAACACTAATAGCCAACCATATTTAAACTGTTCATCTAGTGGCAGCAAGATAGTATTTATTGCCAATTCAAAGTAAAAAAGGGAATGAACTATTGATACACACAACAACGTGGATGAATCCAATGGCATTCTGTGTGGTGAAAAAAATCATCTCACAAGGGAACATACTACAAGATTCCACTCACGTCATTCCAAAAAAGGCAAAATTATAGCAATAGCAACTGTTGCCAGGATTTAAAGATAGGTGGAGGAGCTGATTATAAAGGGGCATCATAAGGGTGTTTTTAGGGATGATGGAATGTTCTGTATCCTGATTGCAGTGGTGGTTGAACAAATCTACATGTGTTAAAATTCATGAAAATGTAGACCAAAAATAAAGGTCAGTTTTAGTATATGTTAATTAAAAAATAAAAATGAAGTAAATTTTAAAAAGGAAACAGTAGAGTATCTTTGGTAAAGTTGGTATTTCTAAAAGAAATTTTCAGAGCTTCATGCCAGTGGTATAATTTCACTGGTCAAAAAATTATTAAATACAACTGCATGAAATAAAATCAAGAAACTTGGGCTTGATTAATCATTTCTAAAATATGTATACTAAAAAAATCATGGAACCATTATTTTAAGGAATATTAGCCCATGTACAAGGAAATTCTACTACTCCCAAGTGAATTTGAAATGTGTTCCCTTATAGTTTAAAACAAGTACCTTGGTGCTTAGCTTTAGAAGTCAACTGCAGTTTGTTTAAAAAAAAAAAATCACTAGTCCTACAAAGCATGATGGATTACAGCATGTTTTTAAGTCTATTTTCTCTTCCTGTTATCCTAATTCATTAAAATTATTATGTGGTTGGGATTTTACATTCACATTATTTATCTAGAGAGTCAAAATCAGAATCTAGAAATACTGCTGGATCCTCTGTCACTAGAATCAAGAATATTTAAGAGAGGAACATTATTTCTCTAGATATAGCACTGGGACTTACATATACTATATGAGATAAGGCAGCATCCCATTAGCTTTATCATGTCTCCCACACTTTGGAACTGTTAGTAGAAGTTCAGAAAGAATAACATGTGTAGGCAGACCAAAATTAAGACCCAAAGATGGGGGGGGGATGCAATATAACAGATGCTGCATTTCTGTAGAAAAACTTGCCTAACAGAATTATATAAGGCTTACGTAGCAAGGTGTGGTTCTAATTATAGTAGATTTTGCCTTTTGAGATCATGCCTGGGTAGTTTTTCACTACTGCTTCTGCCATGGACAGAGGTTAAATGCTTTTTGAGGGCAGATTTGTGCTTGAAATCCATGTCACAACAATGGCATTTGTATGGGCGATCTCCACTGTGTATGTTCAAGTGGTCCTGAAGTGTGCTTTTAGCAGTAAATGTCTTCAAGCACACAGTACACTGAAAGGGCCGTATGCCCATGTGCCCTCGAATATGCCGGTTGAGATTTTTCTTTTGCGTAAATGTTTTCCCGCACTGTAAGCACAAGAACAGCTTATGCATCTTAAGGTGGCGCAGGTAGTTTTCAACATGAAGAAATCCTCGAGGACACCTGGGGCACTGGTGCCTCAGTGAATAAGCATCCTCCAGATTCTGAATCTCATTCACTGTACCATGATTTCCTTCAGTATTCTCACAAAATAAGCTCTGATCTTGGTTCCCAGGAACTTCTGCCACTCTGCTCTCAACCGTAGAATTGATCAGTGAATGCTGTGTTTCAGAGAAATACATGCTTGCTTTTGAAGAGGTACAAGGCTGTGAAAACTGCCCATTTTCTACACCAGCAGTACTAATAGATTCCACATGGAGGATACAAATTTCATTATCTTTAAAACCAATATCTACTGAAGACAGCTCTGGTGACTTCATTTCCTTTCTCTCTGATGTCAACTCTACTGTAGACTGTAAAACATTGCTTTCCTCTTCTTTTACGTGAAAATCTATATTTATAGGACTATCTTCTGAAATTTCAATTATCTCACAGTCTTTATCTGAATTTTCTTCTTCATTCTTAACATCTGGATCAGAGGATTGACACAGGTCAGTATGTTGATTGTTATTTTTCATAGAAAGATCAATTTCCAGATACTTTGACAAAGCTTCTGTGCACTTTTCCACAATGTGAACCATCTGCAGGTAACTAGCAGCTGTCAAGTATTTCAAAAGCTCTTTCCTTTTAACTTCAAGTGCTCCAGTATAGCAAGAGAGCAACAGTTTTCTGCCAACTTCTGCACTCTGCAAGATGGTGATTCTGACATGTTTTGACTGTGTGAGTAAAAACTGATCTCTCATGAAAGTAGAGCAAGCAGCTAAAATCACCTTGTGCCCCTGGAACTCGGTGTCATTAATATAAATTGACACATCACAAAATAAATTCTGCTGTCTCAAGAGATTCATTTTCTGCAAGACTACATCTCCTTGCTGTTCAAACTGGAAGTGCAGGACATCGGATTCAGCAGCCATGGTCACAATCTACGCAAAATAAAACACAAACGTTGATGTAATAGGGAATGCTTTCCTACATTGTCATGGTAAAAACAAACAAAAAATCCCAAACCTTAATTGGGTAAAAGAAAATTCAAATTCTAATCTAGGTGCAAAGACTGAACTCCTATGCCACCATCTCAAAACCGAGAAAATGAAAATGCATTTCTTTTTTACTTCATGTCCCGTTCTTCACTTATTACTTAGTACTTATTTAGTATTACTTAGTACTTATTACACTGAGTTGTACTTAATGGTTTCTGTTTTTCTCCTTGGCTAAATTTTATCTGTTCTGTGGTCCAAGACACTGTTAGTACCCACTACTAAGGGTACTTAACATAGTTTCTCACATTAGAAACCTTAATGTAATCTCCAAGTTTCCTATTCTCCATCACTATTGCAGGTCCTCATTCTGTTCCCTTGGACTATTGCAAGGTCTTCCAACAGGTTTCCCATATTCCAACCTACCCTCCTAAGTGCCACCGGAACTAACATCTTTTAAAACTTTTTTAAAAAAGTTCTCTCGTCTACTTTATTTTTTAAAATCTTTTTATTTATTTGAGAGGGAGAGAGCGAGCAAGAGCGCTAGCAAGAGTGAACACGAGTGGGAAGAGGGGGCGCAGGAAGAGGGAGAAGCTGACCTCCTGCTGAGCAGGGAGCCCAATGTAGGACTTGATCCCAGGACCCTGGGATCTTGACCTGAGCTGAAGGCAGACGCTTAAGCAACTGAGCCACCCAGGTGCCCCCCTCTTCTACTTTAAATCCTCCATTGCTCTCCTCTACCTCCAGGACAGCCTACCCTTCTTAGCAAATACAAGATCCCTCATTATTTGGTCCTAACCATCTTTAAGGCTTTATCTTTGTATCCTCTATTCTCTTTTTCATCAAAGCTCCTTCGACATTGAGATTTTCACCATTGCCCAGACAAGAAGACCGGAATACACTTTTGCACGTTACATTAAAACTGCAGTTCCTCTTTCCAGCTAGTGATTTGGCCCCTTTCAGACCCAAATCAATTTAAGACTGCTGTGACTCCTCCTCCTGTCTCCCCAACAAAGAGTTGGGTTGCTCCCAGAGCACCACGAAAAGGTGCCTGGTTCATCTGAGTTTCTGCAGCGAGCACAGGGGCAGGCACAAGAGCAGGCACAGCGGAGGGAACATCTGTTGAACTGAGCGGGACCCAAGGTGGCCTGGAAGATCCTGCAACTCAACCACACATGGGTCCTCCCGAGTAAGCCTCCCATAGGCCCTGTCGGCCAGGTGGTTGCAGCACCAGTGTAGCCTCCCAGTCCGCGCCTAGGGGCCCTCTACCTCCTCCTCCTCCTCTTCCGGCTTCCCCACCTGCCCGTCTCCAACGCGCTCACTCACCGACTCAGAGAGCCAGAACCCAGCTTTCCGCAGCAGCGGCGGCCCAGGCCGGAAGGTGGACTTAGCCTGGGAGGAAACACATCCGGTGTCAACTAGCTTTACTCCTCACTGGGGTGCGCTTGGCGTCCCGGAAGGACATCCTGAGACATTCTCCCTTCCTCACAACCCCCGCTCCTGGGATGGCAGAGAGGCACCCGTATTCCGGCAAATCCCATCTCTCCTGCCCCAGTTTCGGCGCGCAAGCCGTTCCCCTTCGTGAGTTCTCCCCAGCGTCCGTATCGCAGACGGGTTGTGAGGCTGAGGTACAGCGCGTCCATCGGAATACCCTGCAACGGGACCACTGGGAGGCCCTCATGGGTTGTTACGGGCCGGGTTCTCTCCTCACTGGGCCATCTACAATTTAAAAGGTGGCAGAGGAAAGGAGACTGCCATAAGGATCGGCATTCGAGATTGCCTAGCTAATGACCATCAGGATCTGGTCCCTACCTCTGGATCTCATTTCACCCATCTGTCGCGTGTGACCGTCCACCTCCCCCCTCCCCCCCACCCGCCAGTTCTAGGCAAACCCAGGCCTATCTAAACTCTTGGGGCTGCCTCTTCCCACGTGCCCTAGCTCTCCTCCCACTTATCCTTCAAAATCTCGTTCATAAATCATGTCATCCCTGAAGCCATCCTGAATTGCCCTTGAATTAGTTGGCTCCCACTTGGGAGCCTGTAAGCCCTTTGGCTGCCTTTATTATTGCAATTATCATACCTGTATTGAAATCTGTGACCCATCTGGGCGGAGGTATTTAGGACAGTGATTTATGATCTTTGCATTACCGAAGTCTAGCACTGAGTAGACATCAAGTATTTGCTAAATGAAGGAATGTATGAACCAGGTCTTAAAAGCAGTAGCTCTACCCCCTCAGTAACTGACCCTACTAACAATTTCTAGTTAACCTTATTTGCTTCAGAAGCCATGCTCAGAATGCCTGATTAATAAGTGTTTAAACAATAGGAGTGAAGAAAGCTTTCCTTATTCAAATTTAGGCAATTGAAAAGGAAAGCAGGAGGGAGAGAGAAAAGAAACCACTGACACCAGAGATTTAATTGTCACACTTTTATTAAGGAAACTTCCCCATAATAAGTGAAGAGGTAGTTCATAGTATGTCTAACATACAACAGATTTAGAACAGCTATTCACCAGCTGAAATAAAACATTCTGGTTTGTTTGTTTAGGACAATATTTTAGAAGTGGTGACACTGGTCACCCTCCATTTATAGATCTTCTAATAAACGAAAAGAAAAACACATCTGATTTACCTCAGAGCCACTTCAGTTTGGAGTTTGTCTTTAAAATTAAATAATAAATAAATAATGGTGACATGGTAATTTTTTAAAAACCAAACTATGGTAAAGAGAGTCCTTTTTAGTTATCCTGGGGATCCATAAAATACAAATGCAGAATGACTAAGGTTTTAAAAAAATTTACTCCTCTTTAAAAATATGACTAGTTTTGAAAGTCATCTTCCCTTATAAAATGTAGTTGATATGAGTTAACTTGACCACTTTGCAATACAACCTAAGAAACATGTACAGACAAAGGAGAAAAGTCAAGTCCCACCAAATTAAGAAAATGTCTCACAGAAACAGAACACCTCTCCAGCCAAGAAATGGAGGAGACTGTAAATCACTTCAGTGGTTTGCAGTTGGAAAAGGTGGGAACTGGAAGTTTTACTGATAAAAAACCATCAAGATACTGATTTTAAGTGATTAAGTGATTAAAGGAAGCAAGGCATTTTCTTTATTATTCCTAGTTAAAATCACCTTATCTAAGACTACAATAGACCATATAAGCTCTGTGAGGGCAGGGACTTCAGCAATCTTACCTTGGTATCCTCAGTATCTAGCATAGTGCCTGGCAACAAAGGTGCCCAATAATTGAGTAGCTTCTCAACTACTGAATGAACCCAGAAAGTCTCCAACCAAAGAGGCCAATCTTATTTGAACCCACGCCTTTTAGTCTTCAAACCAGTAACAAAAACAGGACATGAATGTAAGCAAAGGAAGCACTCCAACTTGAAATTTCCCTATGATGAAATGATGTTCAGAGAAGCATTGGTTAACATATTAATGTCTCACTGTTGCATAGAACTGGTACTCTTTGGCTGGATAATATAAAAATCAGAATGCTAGGTAGCATTATTAGACCATAAAAATGAGTGACTTTAGGCATAAGATACCTATTAGTCTTATCACTCAATTTTATTCTCATTGTAAGTGTTTTAACATAAGGTAGAAATTATAACTCCAATCAGATTCACATGTCAATGCATCAAATTATAACAACTCTAAGAATTCCCTGTGACTACTCAAGTTAAACTTCAGTTTTGGTTTATCTGTACATGCATTCTCATAGCTCAAAAATAAAACAAAATCCTGATGGAAACACTGCTTTCAGACAAAAATCAGTTTCACATTTGGATCCTTCTCACACTATTCTTACTCGTCCTTTCCCTCCCTGACCACCACCTAGCAAGTCAGTCACTTGCTTGAGAAGAATGTAATATTCATTCTAACCAAAAAATAATTGACAAAAACACATCCTTCCTGTGATGTTTTGTTTGCAAAATCCGGCTGTCTCAAAAAGCCAACAGGGATTCCCAAAAGTGAAGCACAAACTGGGAGCTTTTTGTTAATATACTTTTGATCATGTACTAAATCTTTTTAAGCCAAGAGATAGTGAGAAATAAGAAGACATTAGCTCATTCTTAGTCACTTCTCTACTTTGGCCAAGGCCACCTCTTTGAGCTTTGGATACCCCAACTTAAAAAAAAAAAGAGGTGGAGTAGATGATCTCTTAAGATTCTCTAAGGACTCTAAGACTCCTATTACCTAAATTTAACTCATGAGTCAAAAGCTACTAAGACTCAAAATTTTATTACTTAACTCTAATATGTGCTTTAGAAAAAACGATTGTGTTTTTTCCATATTGGAAGATCAATTTTGTATTAGTGATCTATCAAACATGGCAAGATGGGACTGTGTACCTTTATAGGAATATCTGAATGCAAAAGCCTGATTGCTCCTCTGTGATCCACCTTTTTTCATCCATTTTAGAAACTAGAGTACAGGAAGAAATGAGAATTCAGAGATTACATTACACCAGACAAAACTCTGAAGGCCAAACTCACCTTTCTGATGGCTAGCCTCTAAAACAAAGTCCAGAAACGGACTCCCAGATAGCCCCTTTTTAGAGAGACCATTATACTTTAGCACATTTTAAGTGTGCCTGGAGCAATCCTGACTTAAAAACATCCACAAGAAGTTACACATTAATTATAAGCATTTGGCTTCTTTTTGGGAAGAACTCCTGTGTAAGTGCTATTGTACAATTGTACTTCTATCCTTTGTTAATTATGTTCCTCATGCTGATCCATGTTGCCGAAAAGATTGTACTCTGGTCTATGTGAACTACTCAGTGACATGAAGCTGGGCCATAATACTGTTGAAGAGTACAGAACAACCCAAAATACTTCATACCAGCTCCAAGACAAGTACAAATGGTAGGAGGCAGATTCATTATCAGTAGGCAATTAACAATAGGCAACCAGAAGTTCTAGCACATTTTCAGGCCAAGAGCAGTATCACCTTATATCTCAGCCTATTTTTTGCCAAAGAAAAATACTATTCACTTCCCTTAGCATAGCATCTATTAGTGGGCTGTAGGTGATGTTATTAACTTATTGGTACCTTCAGAATGTGCCCAGTGAAAAGCCTAAAATAGTTTCAGTCTAAGAAAAAGTCAATTGTTAGGTAGACAAATGGAATACTCCTTGGAAAAGGAAAACAGACATCACGAGATAAATAATTCAAAACACAAAATGGAAGAGGGCAAAAGGAAGGCAAGACCACTCCAAGTGGTAAGTTGCCTGGTCTGTTAGTGCTTTGACTCACCCCTACAACCTGCACAGAGGCTTTGGAGAAGTCAAACTAGCAAAATCACTCCTAAAAAGACTCGAGACTATTGCCACGTTTTCAGTCCATTCTAAGTTGAGAGCATAAAGCCCCTACTCAATTCACACAAGTACTATCATTTCTTAAGTTCAAGACAGCTTGGGCCAGTTTACCTGCATCCAGGACCTGTGTTGCATCAGGCTGTGGCTGACACCCTTTAGAGTCTGTGACTGTTGTACATGCAAAAGAATCAAAATCCACTGTGAGGTCTTGCACATTTCTTTCATTGGCATTATCAAAGCTGTTTTTGCCATGCAGCTGTTTAAGATGTTTCCTCAAAACTGGCTTATGTGCAAAAACCATGTCACAATAGTTACACTTATGGGGCTTATCTCCACTGTGAAGGTTAAGATGATCCTGTAAGGAACACTTCTGAGAAAAGGTTTTCCCACAGATCTTACACTGGAAAGGTTTAATGCCGGCATGCACACGCATGTGTCGATGAAGGTTGCCTTTCTGAGTAAAAGTCTTGCCGCAGAGTAGACACATAAAGAGTTTGTGCATTTTTAAATGGTTGGCGTAGTTCTCCAGGTGACGAAACACCCTGGTACACTTTGGGCACTGGTGATGCCACTGTAAGCCTTTGTCTACACCTCGAATATTAGGCCCAAAGACATCTTTTGAGGCCATGATGATATTATCACTGCCTGCGTAAGAGAGGGCATAATTGTGGAGATGGTTTTGTTCTATTTCACTTACTCTGTTTTCCACAGTTGAATTTATCAGGGAATGCTGGGGCTCTGATGAATGTAAAGCAGTGGGTTCAGAAGAAATAAACTGGTTCTGATCTTTTTTACTTCTAACCTCGGATACATCCCCAATAGATTCTACCTTAACAATCTGAATATCACTGTCCTCCATATCCATACTGTCTTCAGATGGATGAATACAAGGTGAATCCTGCTTTGGGGAGCCTCTGGCATCTCCCTGCTGTTCTTTTGACTGGGGAGAAGCACTCTGCGGTTCACATCCCTCTTTACTATCCATTGGTTGTTTTGGCTTTATAAACTTCCACAAGGCCTGTGTGCACCGTTCTACAATGTGGCTCATCTGAAGAAAACTTGCAGCAGTCAAATAATTGACCAGTTCCATCTCAGGGAATTCCAGCACACCACTATAACAGGATAAGAGCAATTGTCTCCCCACTTCGGAACTCTGCAATATGGAGATTTTCACCTCTCTGGAATCATTCAGTAAAAACTGGTCTCTTAGGAAGGGGGAACCTGCAGCAAACACAATTTTATGCCCCTGTACCTCAATATCATCTATGAGAACTGTAACATCACAAAATTTATTCTCTTCTCTTAATTTGTTCATTTTTTGTAACATTGAATCTCCATAATTTTCAAACTTGAAGTGAAGGAGATCTGATCTTTCAGACATTTTGGCAGACC